CACCTAGCCTCCTCCTGATTCTCATGCCAGCCCATCGTCCCTCCAGGTTATGAACAAGGGGAAGATACTGAAGGCAGGCCGCCAGGTTCGGGAGCCTGGCCAGGATCTGGTAGTCTTGTCCCTGACCATCACCCCAGATTTCATTCCTTCCTTCCGCCTGGTGGCTTACTACACCCTGATTGGAGCCAGTGGCCAGAGGGAGGTGGTGGCCGACTCTGTGTGGGTGGATGTAAAGGATTCCTGTGTAGGCACGGTGAGTCATGCCCCCACCCCATCTCTCTTCCCCGCTTTCCTTTCTTTGAGACATAGGCTCACTATATAGCCCTGACTGTCCTGAAGCTCATCATGTGGACTAGGCTGGGCCTGGAAGCTCAGAGTTCTGCCTGCTTTTGCTCCGCCCACCACCACCATTTGCATCCCCTCTTCTCTTCTTGCTCCTATTTCCAACTCTCTCCTCACCTCTCTTACTTTTGCCAATCTCCTCCCTCCACTCTGACCCCTCTCTCTCCTCCACCTTTTCTTTTCCCTCCCATTCTCTGTCTCCTCTCTCTCTGTGGTCCTTCCAGGGCTGACTCATCCATCTTGCTTCCCTATCCTCCCTACAGCTGGTGGTGAAGGGTGACCACAGAGATAACCGGCAGCTCGCACCTGGGCATCAAACGACACTCAGGATCGAGGGGAACCAGGGGGCCCGAGTGGGGCTGGTGGCCGTGGACAAGGGTGTGTTTGTGCTGAACAAGAAGAACAAACTCACCCAGAGCAAGGTGAGTCCCTGCATCCCAGAGCCCGACCTGGAGCACAGTCGGGGAAACGAGGGTGTGGTGGTGCCAGAGGCTGGGCTGGGATTCTGTCAGGGGCTGGGTGTGAGGGTAGGAGGGTCGGGGACGGCCGGGTTGAGCTTCATCGTGGGGTGGATGAGGCTCTGCTGACCTGGCCTCTCCCCGCAAACCCTGCCACCTGCCCCATCTCCCCCGACTTGCAGGTCTGGGACGTGGTAGAGAAGGCAGACATAGGCTGTACCCCAGGCAGCGGGAAGGACTTTGCGGGCGTCTTCATGGATGCAGGCCTGGCCTTCAAGACAAGCCAAGGCCTGCAGACTGAGCAGAGAGCAGGTGAGAAAAGGGACCGGGGTGGGGGGTGGGGACACAGGGAGGGACATGCCTCCATCCCCAGATGCCCATATAAGACCCCGAGAGCAGGAAACTGAATCTCGCCTCCTCCACAGCAGCACCTGCCATCCCTGTTTTGTTTTAAATTAGTTTTTAATTGCATTTAATGAACACGGTGTGTGTGTGTGTGCACGTGCACATGCTTTTGTGCATGCACACAGGTGCATGGGTGTGCATGCTGATGTGCATATGTGTACATGAGTGTGTACGTGTGTGCGCAGGAATGTGTGTGTGTGTGTGTGTGTGTGTGTGTGTGTGTGTGTGTGTGTGCATGCTCACCCCACAGCATGCATGTGGAGGTAAGAAGACAACTCACACCAGTCAGTTCACACCTTCCACTATGTGGATCCTGGGGATCAAACTCAGGTCACTGGGATTAGCAGCAAGCCCCTCTAACCACTGAGATGTATTGCCAGCCTCTGTTGCTGCTCCTTGAGCCGCTCCTTGAGCCTCAGTCTCCTCTACTGCAAAAAGGGTGCAGTCACACCCTGGCCTCACCCATTGCACGCCTGTCCCTCCCTCAGATCTCCAGTGTGCCAAGCCAGCTGGCCACCGCCGCCGCCGCCGCTCCGTACAGTTGATGGAAAGGAGGATGGACAAAGGTCAGATGGACACCATCTCTGTGCATCACCCGCCCCATCCTGTTAGAATCCCAAGGGAGGAAGGGGGGGTTGCCTCCCTTGTCCTACCCCAGGGAAGTCCTACCTGGAGTTTGGTCTGATCCTCTCCTGATGGCTAAGGCTGACGCTGGGTCTGGGCCTCCCGCAGCGGGTCAGTACACAGACAAGGGTCTGCGGAAGTGCTGTGAGGACGGCATGCGGGATATCCCTATGAGGTTCAGCTGCCAGCGCCGGGCACGCTTCATCACCCAGGGGGAGAACTGCGTGAAGGCTTTCATAGACTGCTGCAACTACATCACCGAGCTTCGCCAGAAGCACCAGCGAGACCAAGTGCTGGGCCTGGCCAGGAGTGAGTGGCACCCCGAAGGGGAAGGGCTGAGCGATGGGGGGGCTGCACCTGTCTGCTGGGAGAGCGGCCCAAAGACTGTGGCCCCAGCCCTGAACTCTGGGAAGACAGAAGGAGGAGGACGGAGGCCATCTGGCCTTCATAGCAAGGAAGAGACTAAGGAAGTAGGGGAAGGGGCGAGGGAGCCCAGGGCGGTCCTCGTACTGGCCTGTGCCCCCATCCCACAAGCCAATATGTCTTCAGCAAAACGAAGATAAGTTCTACAGTCACTCCACATCGCAACTAGGTATGGTGTCACATGCCTGCCACTGCACACTCAGGACACTGAGGCAAGAGGATTGCTGTAGGTCCCGGGCCAGCCTGGGCTACCTAGTGAGTTCCCAACCAGCTTGTATGATGCTCATCTTGATACCAACACATCTGTAGAACACGATTTTTAGTTTTTATTTCCTGGATGGAGAGAGGACTCCCCACAAATCCCCAGCCCGTCAGGGGCTGGTGGGAAACCCTCACCCCAGGGTGAATGCATTTACACAACTCAGAAATGTATGCAAGGGCCCCACCCCAAAGTGGGTCTTTTTCCAAACCACATCTACCCATGCTCAGGTGACTTGGAAGAAGACATAATTCTCGAAGAACAAGTCATGTCTCGAAGCCAGTTTCCAGAGAGCTGGTTGTGGACCATAGTGGAGCTGAAGGAACCGGAGAGAAATGGGTATGGCTCCATGGTCCATGGGTAAAGGTTGGCCACAAGACTGACAAGGTGGAGGGAGATAACCAACGCCCACAAGTTGTCCTCGACCTCCACAGGAGGTTAGGACAGGAGGCCACACACTCTCTCTCACACACACAGTAAATACATTTTTTAAAAGGCAGATGAGTCTAGGACACCCCAGTCCACACTCCTGCCTGAGGGCCGAGAGCATCCCCCCAACGAGCTCTTTTAGGTATGATTTGCACGCACCTGCCAACTTCCTGTCTCCTCTGCAGTCACCATGGAGGTCCATGGCCTGAACTAGCAGGGCCACAGGTGCAGCCCAGAGCTCCCCTCTAACCTGTCCCCAGGGGTCCCTACCTCCACACCCTTCTCCATCCTGGTAGATCTTACTACTTAACATTTAAATTTCTGCCCCACCCAGAATCTCCACGAAGGTCATGAACATTTTTCTCAAAGACTCCATCACCACCTGGGAGATTCTGGCAGTGAGTTTGTCAGACAAGAAAGGTAAGGGACGGGCTGGGGAGGCGGCTCAGGGGTGAAGAGCTTGCCCTGTGAGCATAAGAACCCAAGCTCAGTCTACAGATCCAACACAGGCAGGGCGGCCGGGTGCTGGGGAGGCAGGAACAGGAGGACCGCTGGGCTTCCTGGTCAGCCAGCCTAGCCAATCAATGAGCTCCAGGGTCAGCAAGAAACCCTGTGTCAAAAAATAAGGGAGAGGGCCAGGGGAACTCAGCGGTTAAAAGCATTTGCTAGTCTTGCAGAGGCCTAGAGTTTGGTTCCCAGCACCCATTTCAGGCAGCTTACAACTGACCACAGTTCTGGGGGATCGGCCGCCCTCTTCTGGCCTCTATGGGTACTGCACTGAGATGCACACGAACACAGAGTTACAGGTGCACCAACCTACATACAATTAATTAAGGTGGAGGAGCAGCTGAAGACGACACCCAGTGTCGACCTCTGGCCTCCTCATGCATGTGGACCCGTGCACACATGTGTACATGTTTACATAGAGACTGGACACAGCTGGCCGTGATGTCAGCACATCTGGGGTTTGTCAGTCACATGTGCGTGTTTAGGCTGTACCTTTCTGTGAACGGGATCAGCCATGGCCAGCAGGGAACCAGAACCAGGAGCCCGGCTAGGCCTCCCCGCACAGCCCTCCCACCTGGACCCTTCACACTGCCCTCTCTGCCCACAGGGATCTGTGTGGCGGACCCCTATGAGATCAAAGTGATGCAGGACTTCTTCATTGACCTGAGGCTGCCCTACTCTGTGGTGCGCAATGAGCAGGTGGAGATAAGAGCTGTGCTCTACAACTACCGTGAGCATGAGAAACTGAAGGTGGGAGCAAGCAGGAGCTGGGAGGTTCAAAGGGACCCACGAACCCACCTTTGCCTGCCCTAGCCCCTCCCTCACTTACCCTCCACGGGCCCCACCCTCATCTTCCCTGGCTCTCCTCACCAACCCCAGCCCCCCCTCTCCTGTCCTGGTCTCTCCTCACCT